TCTAATGAGAAGTGTATTGAGGAGGTGGAAAAGAGTAAACATTTAGGTCACATGGGCTTTGAGGAAGTGTTTCTACTCCTGTGCTTCACAGTGTAAGACTGATTTCCTCAGTGTTTCATCAGAAATTTCTGCCAGCAGCTCTTCCTCACAGAGAAATGTGGGAATGAATGGGAAGAGCCATTAAAAAGATACAAAATATCTTGATTTCTATTATATTTTAGTAACATAACATCTGTTATGTTTGTTGGAAGTTTAATAGTTATTATTTTATTTGAGTATGAAGGTAATGCATATCCACTGGGAAAAACATAAAAAAGTGCTTGATACTATAATACCAGAGAGGGTTATCAAAAACATATATAGATGATTATCCTTACAAAATTGCGTTTATACTGTATGTGTTGGTTTGTGTGTGTGTTTGTGGGTGTGTATGTGTGTATATACCAGTAAACTACCTCCTCCATTTTGAGCACATAACAACCCCAGACTCAGTCGGACTCACACAGTTGTTCGGATGCCTGCAAAGGAAAGCAACCCACTGTGGGTCTCCTCTCCACTGACAGCTGGATATCTGTCAGAACGATCTGCCTGCAGAAAGAAGACCCAATTTGGATCTCCTGAAAGCTGTTGTGTTACTCAATAAAGCTCGTCTCAGCCTTGCTCACTTTCTAGTGAATTCAAGGACCAACATCCTGACAAGAACTCAGGACCAATGAATGGTGCAACTGAAAGATCTGTAACACAAATATGGCTGAAACATGACCTCCCCACCACCTTGCTCACCATGTTGTGGGCAACGAGAAGGAGAGAAGAACTGCGGCCTTCTAGAAGCCCAAACCTAGGGGGCTCCCTAAGCCAGGGCTGTGACACCTTTTTTGGGGCTCTGCAGTTCCTGGTGTCTTTAATCTTCCAGGCACCACCACATTGCCCTGCTCTATACATGAGTGCCCACAGTGGAAGCTGCTTGTGGTACATCTGCTCCAGCCACATCCTTGCATGAAGCTGCCCTCCACTGCAGCAGCCAGCATGCCTGGCTATGTGCAGTGGCCAGACCCTGCACTTGATCCCTCACACACCCCTCACCACTCTCTGCGTGGCTTGCCCTTGGCAGGCTTGGGATCTGGGCCAGTAGTGAAGCCTGCCAGGCCAAGAGGGCAGAATGAGCCCAGTGGGCACAAGCAAAATTTGAACAAAGATGCCACTGGCCACAGAGAACAATGGACACTGGACTTGTTGATAGGGAAGCAAGAACAGCAGGGGTCAAAAATCTACCATACTGAGCACTATGCTCACCACCTGCGTGCAATCTACCCATGGAAAAATCAGTAGATAGACTCACTCTACCTAAAATAAAAGTTTAAAAATTACCCAAGGATTTTATTTTCTTTTTCATTTCCAACATTATTGATGTATAATTTACGGACAAAAAGCTGAGTATAATTAATGTGTACAAGTTGATGAGTTCGGATATACACATACCTTTATGTTACCATCACCACAATGAAGGTAATAAGCATACCCGTCATTACCAGCAGAGAAGAAAAACTCAGATAATTATGATGATCCAAAGTTGATCTTTATGCACTGTCTTGCTACTTCCAAATGGCAGAGGCATGCTAAAAGCGTCTCATTCACCATCTGCTAGAAATAAAATTCAAGATGTTTTCAATTTGTTGATATTTACTCCTTTATAAATTGCCCACTTTATTGGCCCTTATTTATTTGGAATGTCAAATTTTCATTTGTTTAGCCTTTCACTTTCATATTAAAATATGAATAGCTGTATGCCATGCCTGTTTACACAGTTTGCATTTTTTCTATTTCACTTTGTTCATGGCTTTTTTGTTATACAATATTTTTTTAATTTAATTAGTGTTGGTGTAAAACACACCATTAGTTCTGTAGTTTCTTCCACTTACACTTTAGTTAGAAAGTTCTCTAGTGTCTTAAAACATTAAAAATTTTACTTTTGTTAGTTTTCATTTTTTATCTTTTCATTTAACAGTCTGATTTTTTACCCTATTATCTTTGAAGAATGATGCAATATCATAACATAAATTATTGACAATATCATAACATAAATTGTTGACAAGTTTTTTCTTTACTTGATGAATTTCAACAGTTATTATTTACATATATTAACTGTTTATATTTATGAAGGACTCTACTGTGCTCTATTGATCCTTTTAATTCCTAAAACTATGTCTGTTTCCATTATTTTAACATATTATTTTTGTGCATGTGTCAAAGAAAATGGTCTTTCATCTTCTTTTACAAAACTGTTTTATAAATATTTACCCATTTATTTAGGAAAGAAAAACAACTGTAGAACTGCATTGTTATGTTTAAAAACAGAAGCAAAATTATTATATTTTTCACTGGAATAGTATTAATCTTATCATTTGTTTGAAGAGTATTAGCATCCTCACATGCCAATCTAGGAGTATGCTAGACCTTTGATTTACTTAAGTATTCAGTTAGTTTTCTTTAGCAAAAGTTACAATTTGTGTCTGGTGTGTGGAAACCTAGGGGTGTGTGTGTGTGTGCGTGCGTGTGTGTGTGTGTGTGCTCTGTACATTTTTCACTATATTGTTTGTATATTTCTCATTAAATTTATTCCTACATATTCTACTGGTTTTTTTGTATTTATCAATGCTTGTTTCTGGTAAACTGAAAGACTGCTGGTTTTTAACCACTATTTTAAAAAAATGTTGCCAACTACAACCTCTAAACAGTACATAATTTGGGGGAAAATCACTTTGAGTTTATACAGGCATCAAATGCACACGTACTTTATTTCCCATATTCTAATGCTTTGAGATTTTAAACTTTGAACTCCATTGTCTAAAATTTCCAAAAACGATGTCAGCCAACATGGGTAGAAATGGGACTTTGTGGGGGCTTTAATGATAATGTGTAAAGTACTACATCATTATACGTAGATCTTTCCTTAATTTGAGGAAGATACAGTTCGTCATGCTGAGGAATTATCTTTCTATAATTGGGCATTATCTAAGGTTTCCTATCAGCAATGATTCCTGGATTTAATCTGTTGGCAATCATTTTTTTACAACGTGTGTGTGTGTGTGTGTGTGTGTGTGTGTGTGTGTGTGTGTGTGTTTTGTATGTTTTTTCCTTGCGATGGTCACTTGAGTGTGGCCACCAGAGGATACACAGGAGAAGCTCAGGAAAACACGGTTTATTAATTTATTTTATTTATTAGTTTGGATGATATCAGCAGGCTTTGTGCTACAGGAGGTGTGGCTATGTTTCATTCACCCACCATCTCCTGTGTCTGCAGAGCATCACTGAACACAGCCTGGATTTTGGCAAAGCAATGACAGCACAGAGCCTGGACAGCAGCCTGTAGAGGTGGCCTGAGGGGCTTGGGCTGTGGTCCTGGACTTTACTGCTGTGTCTACAATTTAGGACAAACGTTTTTCTCCAGTTCTTGGCTACCTAAAAAGAAATCATACTAAGGGTATGGAGCACCCTTGACATAGCCAACTCCATCTTAGAAAAAGACTCCATTTTATACTTCATAGAGCACTTTTCCAACAAGGATGAGATGTGTTGTCTACTAAACAAATTTAAAAGAAGACTGAATGCAACCAGATAAGGATTCAAACAAGCGCACTCTTCCATGATCCGTTTTCACAGGAGGACTCCGTAACTATGAAAGGACAGGTCTTCAGCAGCTCGAAATAGCTTGTTAAATAGCACCATCTTGCAGTCACTTATGATGTAAACTTGGCATCTCCCACCTCAACGACTCCTGCAAGACCGAGGGACCAGTGACCTTGACCAGGGCTCCTTTGATCTTCTCTCCCCCGGATTGGTTTGTGATCCTTTCTCCTATCTCTTTTCCTTCTTGTGCTAAGCGTTTGTTTGTTGTGAAATGGTAAACTATAACCTTTACATATCGATTAGATATACTGTTATGTATGGTTTGCAATATTGACTGATGATGCTGTGGCTTGAGTCTGTCCTGCGGCTGGGACTACCCAGTGAACCAGAAGAGCTGAGGAGAGTCGCCCCCTTGGGAACTCCATGTAGCTCATGGCAGATTTTGTGATTGAAACAGTGTCAATAAAATCCTGACATTGTGGAAAGACAGAAGCATTCGTGGTCCTGTTTATTTCTAAACTTGCACCACTTGTGACACTATGTCATTCGCAAAGGGTTTTCAGTTTTAACTTTCAAGTGAAAAGCTGGGTACCTCCTTCCCACTCTGTAATGTTACCCAATGCAATAGCCAGTGCTATAGAGAAGGAAAGACATGCTGTCCACTATTTATTTGGAAGAAAAAAGTTGGTAGAAATAGCTCCAACGACACTAACACCTGCACAGGGATTCCAAAGGTCTAAAAATGCAAATGAATTGGAGAAGAAGCTGAAAAGGTGATTACAGAAACTGCTAGTTAATAGGGAATTGTTTTCTCAACTACTTTCGCTGTGTCTTCCAATGTAACAATTAGTTACCACATTAAAAAAATAACATTACAGACCCCTTTCCCATAAACGTTTAGTCTTGGCATTTCCACAAAACACATGACTCATTTTTTACCTCCAAATTTAGATAAAGGAGTGTTTTCAGTTGTTACTCAAGGAAGAGATATTTGGATTTTCTAAAACTTGGTGTAAGTCTATGTAGGTTTCTTTTACGGTTTTACGACAATTTAGTCTCTTTCTAATGTCTTTCAAATCCTGGCATCCTTACACCTTTGATAAGTCAATTGATGAATTGTTTAAACAATGCAGTCAAAATCACCGTTCTTATGGGGCCATTGAAGATGGCAGAATATATAATATTAACTCAACATGTTGGGGAATTCAGATACATAAACCACAATCAGAGAAGTGATATGAGAGAAGAATCGGAATCAGCAAAAACAAAAAAAGAATAAACCCAAGTAGTGTGTCTAGAACTCTGGCATTATTTGTGTGTGACTGTTACAGCATCTTCACGTTTTTGATGGAAGTACTGTTGATAAACCATTCAGCATGGATGACATTGGCGGTTGCTGCAGCATTTTCCGTGTCATCCATGATGCCATGCCACACATGCCTGAACAGGATGTGGGGGTTTTAAATTATCAGAATTATTTCCTCCTCACACCAGAGGTCCCTCAACATCTTGCCATAACTCTCTTCAAGGCACGTATCACATCCCTGTTCCTCAGACTGTAGATGAGAGGGTTTAATAAGGGGGTGAGGATGGTGTAAAAGCCAGAGAAGACCTTATCTTTGAGTGGGGTGTGATAGGATTTGGGAAGCATATATGTATACAAAGCAGCCCCATAGAACAATGTCACCACCACCATGTGTGAGGAGCAGGTGGCCAAGGCCTTCTTCCTCCCTTCAGCTGATGTCATCTGATGCACTGTGCTGAGAATCCTGGTGTAGGATGCGGTCACTACTGAGAAGGGGATCAGCAGCATTGCCACACAGCATGTGTACATCACCATTTCATAGGCAGCTTTGTCCCCACAGGCCAGCCTCAGCATGGTGGGTGCCTCACAGAAAAAGTGATTGATTTGGTGAGAGGCACAGAATGGGAGACTCATGGTAATGGGGGTGAGGAGAAAACTGTCCAAAGCCCCGCCGAACCAAGAGCTGGCCAGGATCCTCCAGCAGACCCGCTGGCTGACAAGGAGAGGATAGCGCAGCGGATTGCAGATGGCCACGTAGCGGTCGTAGGCCATGAGCCCCAGCAGGAAGAATTCAGCCCCCACGAAGCCCATGTAGAGAAAGCACTGAGCCGTGCAGGCAATGAAAGAGATGGTCCTCTCACCTGCAAGATAATCCACCAGCATCTTAGGCACAATGGTGGAGACGTAAAACATATCGATAAGGGAGAGGTGGCTGAGGAGGAAGTACATGGGGGTGTGGAGATGTGGGTCTATGTAAATCAGGAAGATCATGACTCCATTAGCTATCACGGCCATGAAGAAGATGGCACAAATGACACCGAAAAAGAACCCTGAGCCTTTAGTGTGAGTGAAGAGCCCCAGGAGGGTAAAGCCACTGGACAAGGTCTCATTTCCATTCATGGCACTGAGTTTGACCTGGAGGCATAAGAAGAGAAGTAGGATCAATGAAAATCACAGAAGGTAAGGTAAATCACTTGGACGTGTCTGCGTAAACATTATTAGATTACATTTTTTATATAACTAATAACTTTTTTTTTTGATGTGGTAGATTTGTAGCTCCTTTTTTCTTGGCTATTTCTTTTTGATGAAGAATAATTTCAAAGTTAGGACCCTATGGCATAAAAATGAATGAATGTTTGGCAATTGATGCTTGGCTTAAGCGAGTTTCATTATGATTGAAGAACACCCGGGCCCTAGAGAGGATCCTTCATTTGGAGTTGGCTCCATTTATTTAAAATGTGGATACAACTGCAAGACAATTGATCCAATCAACTCAAATGACCCAATAAAATAATTCAATGGGCCAATGCATCAAATTGGGAATTTCTGCGATAATTAAAAAACCTATTGGTCTCATCCAGAAATAACCGTAAATTGTAGACACAGCTGAAAACTATGTTGAACTGTAATAAATATGATTATGTTATCCATCTGATCATTGGCCATTCTTAAGTGTTCCTTTATCATTCGTCAATTTCTCATTCATTTGCACACCAAATCTTTATTTATGGAGAGAGTCCTGGGCAATGTTCTAAGCCCTGGGGATACAGTGGTGAATAAAAAAAGAATATGAATTACATGAGTTACATTCTAGTTATGAAATAAGCACCGTAAATCACAAGTGGGAACCATGGTGTTCCTACAAAATAAATAGCAAATGTGACACCCCTAAAGCAGGAAAGGAGCTTGGGATAGTCAGAAAACAAAAGTCAGTTCAGGAAGAGCCTTGCAAGTGAGAAAGACAGTGAGATATTAGTGATCAGTTCTTCAAAGTATGCGGGACAGGGTAAAGAGGTCAAAATCATTTTCTAAGGATTATCGGTAGAATTGACTGGCAATTTATGACATATAACAGTTTAACATGTTCACTACGATCTATTTGTTTTTTTCTTCGTGTCTCTTTGGTGCATTGGAGCCATTTTTTGTTTTTGCTTAGTTTTGTATTTTTGTAGCTCTTGAAGGGTTCACAAGAGGGGAAAACTCATCCAGGTTATACTGGGATAACCCAGGTTATGCGTTCTGTCCTAATATCACCCCCATTTCACTCAAAACTTCCTGATTTGGTCAGTCAGTCGTAAGCCTTAGAGGTGGTGACTGAATGAAATGCATAAAAGATCTCATAGGCCAGAGGCAGAAAACCGTACACAGTCTTAGACAGGGATGGGTGCTGCATTCACATCTTGAATATACAATGAATGCAAGAGCATCTTTTAAAAGATTCCTCATTAGTTTTAACACTCTAAAATCCAACTTGATTTTTGAATTCTTGAACACTACTGTGTGCCCTCAGGTGTTATACCATACAGAGAGGCAGATGATGCAGGGGAAAGTGCCCACAGGTGGCAGCTGGTCTCCAGGAACACCATTTCGGAGTCGGTGGGGGCGGGGCTCGATTCTCAAATACTCTCACTGAGAATGCTTTCTGGGGTCCTGGCTTCATTATTTGCAATGTGCCCCAATGCATATTACTTAAATTAAGCATATCACAGGAAACTTAAGGGAGGTTGTCATGAACAAACATCATATAACATATGCAAAGGACCACAGTTGAGTAAATTCAAATGTTAAACTATTAGTAGCTGTTGTGGTTGTGACATAATGCTGATACCGAGGACACACAATTTCTGCTGAAGGCAATATTGCATTTCTTAGCTACGGGTGTATACTCACTGGCACAAACGATAGGGGTCACACTATGAAAAGCACGTATGACCTGTTGAACACCAGGCAGGGTTCCAGGCTTGTGCACTATCTTCTGAATTATTTAAAATGATAAAATCTCAGAACATTCTTCCTGATTATGCAAATAATTGTCATTAGTGTAATCTTTTAGCAAAAGATAAGGACTTGTGAAAGACTAGTTTCTGGGAAAACCCATCCCAGGAAGAAGACTGTCATTTCCTAAGTTCACTCTCAGATTAAACAATGAGGATCCAGACATTAGGTAATAGCATTACATGAACAACTGGGGCCTAAAAAATGATTTGCAAGTGTCTACACATTCTCCAGGGCAGCCTGTTTCAAACTTCTCAGTCCATGCTCACGAAACTTCAGAAAAGACTCAACTTTTTATCCACACTGAACATTAAAAATATTGGGTAATAGGAAAAGATGAACTCTAGTTACTCCTCAGTAGAGAAAAGCCTCTGAAGTTTAGGCCAGTCCATGTGCAAGGTCTCTGGGGTATGAACCACTCAGGAAAAGGATTGGCTGTGCCTCTCTGTGCCAGGTTTTCTCTGCAGCAGGATCTGCTTGTCTGCTTTCCCCATTCTTACCCTCCTCTAGCCAAGAAATGGTGGAGAAAAAGGGTCGAGTTTTGCAAGTAGACCAACAAAGGAGGGTTTTGGAGGAGGATTCTCAGCACAGTAAACAGGAGACTTGATTTAGGAAAGTGGGAAATATACACACACAAGGAAAAATGCGAGCTAACAAGAAATTGACACTTTCTAAGTTTTTCCTACTCTTTCAACAAAAAATTCAACATAACTGCACATTTTTGCTTACCTGTGTAGAAGAGGCTAAATGGATTTGGTGGTCAGGAAACAAGGAGTTGAAGATTTATTCTGCCCGCTATCCATCCAAAATGCAGATCCTCCCTCTAATGGGTAGCGGCTCATCTAATGAGCTCCTTGTGATGACCTGATTGAAGTGGAAGGAGTTCACTGCAATACCAAGAGGAGCAGAAAAAGACCACAGCATTAGGGAACACTTCAGGATAAATACACTCAGGCCATTGCAGTGCTTTATCCACTGGAATTAAAACAGTTCCAGGATGAGAAGTTACAGGAAAACCTGCTAAGAAGAGTGCTGAAGACATGAACTGTCTCAGGGCTGTGGAGGATAAAACTTCAGTAGTTCTCCAGAGATGCAGAAAGGCAGATATTAAATGATAAGAAAGATTGACATGGGTGGGGGTGGTGGCTCACACCTATAATTCCAGGACTTTAGGAGGCTGTGGTGGACGGATCACCTGAGTTCAGGAGTTCAAGACCAGCCTGGCCAACATGGTGAAACCCTGTCTCCACAAAAATACAAAAATTAGCCAGGCATGATGGCAGGTACCTGTAATCCCAGCTACTCGGGAGACTGAGGTGGAAGAATCGCTTGAACTGGGGAGATGGAGGCTGCAGTGAGCTGTGATCGTATGTTTGCACTCCAGCCTGGGCAAGATGGAGCAAGACTCTGTCAAAAAAATAAAAAAAATTTGACATGGAGTACTGGAATTACGAAAACAAAATATAAATAAACAATGTTTTTAAAAAGAGTGATTTCACAAACAGGAGAGAATTATTAATAAAAACTGAAAAGAAAAATTTGTGAAAGGAACAAAAAGACTCTGCATATGGATAGTTCATTTAATTAATAAATACACTTGTGTGTGTCTGGGAAAGTTATTTGAAGTAAAAGCATCTGGTAGCATCTAATAAAAACATAGTAGCATGCAAACAAAACACAAGAAAAGGAAAATCTGTGTAGTCACCTACACAGACTAAAATTCACATTGACCACAGATGTCTTCCTGATAAATTCCAGATAAAAGTGAAAAAATGTCTAAACTAAAGACATACAATATTGCAGTAAAAAGAGAGAGCTCTGCAGCCCGAATTCCCTTGGTTTGATCCTTTCTTTACCACCAAATTGTGTGACCACAGGCACTTAACTTATTTTTGTGTCCGTTTTCCCATTTTCTTTGTAATAATAGAAAGGGTGCAAATTTCAAAGATTACATCATTCACACATGTCAGTTTCTTAGACTAAGTCTAGAATGTGCTATCTGTTCAAGAAAACTTACTATCGATATCATTGAATATGTTTTAGTTGTTAGTAATGTTTGGCTCAAACAGGAAGATGTTCTGAGATAAATTAGGGGGAATAAACACTAAGATACAGCTGAGTATTTGTGTAGATTAAACAAAATTAAGGAAAGGGAAGAAACAGTAATATTACTAACAGTGAATGTTGAATTCAGGCTAAATATATATACTTAATGTAAATATGATTGCAATATTGCAATATTGCATAGAACTCAAAACATTCTTAACAATGAAGATATATATATATATATATATATATATGTAGATATATAGAGATACATGTATGACATCTATTATGTAGACCAGATAGATATACCCATCTATATCTATATAGACAACAAGGTCTGAAAATGGAATGCTAATAGTATATATGAAAAACAGATTCAATTTAAATAGAGTATAAAATTACCAGAATGTAGCTTTCATTCATTCATGTATTTATTCATTCAACTATTTATTGTGATACAGCTCTTCACTAGACATTTTTCTAGGAGTTGAAGATACCAACACCAATATTCCCTCCTTCTTGAAACATACGGGGCAAAGGACTAAGGATAAATAAAAACATATACTATTATCAAGAATCTAACATTTTTTTTCTCAGTAAGTGAGCCCCCTAAAGATAGATTTTTGTTTAGGACTCCAAAATAGAGGTAACTATAAGATAATGCATTCTATAAGAATAAGAACAATTTTGAAAAAGATTAACAAAATCAATTACTAGTATTAAGAGGAATTACAAAAATGTTTGTATGTGTGTACGTGTTTGTGTATGTGTTAAAATCCTTTAAAATATGAAAGAAAAAAGGCATAATGGCACAGGAAATTAAAACAAAGCATAAGATGAAATGAGATAGAAAACAACTATGTTAATCATAGCTACAACACCATTCAGAGTAAACATCCCCTTTTAAAGTGTAGATTCACTCTTCAAAGAAAACAAAACAAAATGTACAAAATGGAAAAGAGAACTGAAAGATGCAAAAAAGAATGACATAAACACATATAAACAGTAATTTAAGGTGATATTACAAATGGAACAAAGAGAACAATTCTGTAATTTAAACTTTAAATGGAAATTCATTGTGTGCTTAATATATTCAGTTAGCTTCTATAGGACAATCTCTTTTTTTTTCGTAAGATATATTGGGATTCTAAAATCATAATAACAGATTCACATCTAAATCAGAGAATTTGAAATACTTTAATGTATGCCTAAAGCACTACTTAGGCCAGGACACAAACAAATAGAAAAACATACCATGCTCATGGATAGGAATAATCAATATAGAGAAAATGGCCATACTGCCCAAAGTAATTTATAGATTCAACACTATCCCCTCAAGCTACCAATGACTTTCTTCACAGAGCTGGAAAAAACCACCTTAAACTTCATATGGAACCAAAAGAGAGCCCATATAGCCAAGTAAATTCTAAGCAAAAAGAACAAAGCTGGACGTGACACGCTACCTGACTTCAAAGTATACTACAAGGCTACAGTAATCAAAACAGCATGGTACTGGTACCAAAACAGAAATATGAACCAATGGAACAGAACAGAGGCCTCAGAGGCAATGCCACAAATCTACAACCATCTGGTCTTTGACAAATCTGACAAAAACAAGGAATGGGGAAAGGATTCCCTGTTTAATAAATGGTATTGGGAAAACTGGCTAGCCATGTGCAGAGAGCAGAAACTGGACCCCTTCCTGACATCTTACACTAAAATTAACTCCAGATGGATTAAAGACTTAAACATAAGACCTAACACCATAAAAACCCTAGAAGAAAACCTAGGCAAAACCGTTAAGGACATAGGCATAGGCAAGCATTGGCACCAAAACTAAAACACAAAAAAGCATTGGCAACAAAAGATAAAATAGACAAATGGGATATAATTAAACTCCAGAGGTTCTGCACAGCAAAAGAAACAATCATTAGAGTGAACCAGCAACCAACAGAATGGGAAAAAATTTTTGCAAGCTACCCATCTGACAAAGGACTTATATCCAGAATCTACAAAGAACTAAAACAGATTTACAAGAAAAAAAACCCATTCAAAAGTGGGCAAAGGATACGAACAGACACTTTTCAAAAGAGGACATATATGAGGCCAACGAACATATGAAAAAATGTTCATCATCATTGGTCATTAGAGAAATGCAAATCAAAACTACATTGAGATACCATCTCACACCAGTTAGAATGGTGATCATTAAAAAATCTGGAGACAACAGATGCTGGAGAAGATGTGGAGAAATAGGAACACTTTTACACTGTTGGTGGGAGTATAAATTAGTTCAAGCATTGTGGAAGACAGTGTGGTGATTCCTCGAGGACCTAGAAATAGAAATTCCATTTGACCCAGCAATCCCATTACTAGGTATATATCCAAAGGATTATAAATCATTCTACTATAAGGACACATGCACACAAATGTTCATTGCAGCAGTTTACAATAGCAAAGACTTGGAACGAACCCAAATGCCCATCAATAATAGACTGGACAAGGAAAATGTGGCACATATACACCATGGAATACTATGCAGCCATAAAAAATGATGGGTTCATGTCCTTTGTAAGGACATGGATGAACCTGGAAACCATCATTCTCAGCAAACTGACACAAGAACAGAAAATCAAACACTGCATGTTCTCACTCATAGGCGGGTGTTGAACAATGAGAACACATGGACACAGGGAGGGGAGCATCACACACTGGGGTCTGTGTGTGATGAACCAGAGGAGGGACAGTGAGGGATAGGGAGTTGGGGAGGGTTAACATGGGGAGTAGTGCCAGATATAGATGATGGGGATGGAGGCAGCAAACCACATTGCCATGTATGTACCTATGCAACAATCCTGCATGTTCTTCACATGTATCCCAGAATCTAAAATGCAATAAAATATATATATTAAATAAATAAATAAATACCTAAATGTGGGGGGGGAAGCAGTATGCTCTTTGTATTCTAAAAAATGCTAAAGTAATGACAATAAATTAGGATTTTTATTGTGAAGAAGCAGGCACCATCATGCACTGCTAGTATAAATACAAATCGAAGCCATTTTTTTCTGGTAGTGTCTGGCATTTATCAAACTTAAAAAAAATCTACATTTTAGCCATTTTCATCAATTTATTCTGAGGAAATAAATAGTGTGAAGTGGGAATAATACGTGAAAACATTAAATGAATTATTGCTATTGATTGTGGAAATAAACTATAAACTATCTTAATGATCAACATTAATAGGTTGACTAATTTAAACATTGCTCAATTTACCTTGTCCTCATTGATAATGATGTAGGTTAATTTTCTTTTCATGTAAAGATATGCATAATATATTTTAAAGTAGGAAACATAGCACTGCCTATTTACAAACATATTTGTGCATAAATTATAATCACATGTAGCTCACCTGGAAAGTTTTGGATTGGGATAGGAAAAAATGTGACTGAGGGCAGAAATGAAGCTCAAGGTAGAGCAACCAGGAGACTTTGCTGAATTGAATGGAGATTGAAGAATGGGGAATACGCTTTACTAATGCATTCTAGACCCTGATGATTTATTTTACTCATCATGTACTATGAACTTTGTATTTCATACCTCAATAAGATGGATCACACTCAGATGGTTACCTGAGTTTAATGAAGACACCTTGAGTCTGTGATGTGCTCTGGCTTGTCCTCATGGCACCTCTTCAACTTGTTTCTATAACTCTCTTTGTTGTTTTTATTTGCTGCATGCTCCTGTCTCCTCAAATATAATATGAGCT